TTGCTAGTAGAGGTCTTTTTTACCGGCTTTAAATGGCCAGATACAAATGTGTCCTTCTATTTGCCTAAGTACTCAGAATGTTTATTTCCTTAGAAAGGCCAAATGTGGCAGCAATATACCAAAATTCAGCTGGCTTTCAGTTGATCTGAGTTTCAAGAGTAGAATATGGCGGGCTTACCATGATACATTATTGCATTTACCTAGCACTTACCTAGTGCTTCCTTATTAAATAGATGGTTTGTTATTACCTAGCAGAATTCTGATTAGGGTGCCAGCATATGACCCAAGGTGGGGATGTGGAGTGTCTTGTATTTTATTTCATTAAGACAGGAGGCCTATGGCTGAAAAAATGGTTTCTGGGGCGTTTCCATCCTATGCTGTGTCCCTTCCTCCTCTGACTTAATTCACACCACCACCTTCTCTTGTTCTCTGTGTCTGAGGATAATTAGTACACGTAAGCAAACCTTAGAGCATCATGGTTAAGAAGGACAGTTTTGGTGAAGGCCAACCTGGCTTCTGCACATCTGTGTTAACTTTGTAAATTTGGCTCATAATTGTACTTTCCTAAAGGGTTCTTCTGGTTATTGACTTGGACAGATAATACAGTAGCCCAGAAAGCATTTATTTTAGCACGCTGTTTGACATATACTAAGCTCTCAATAAATATTAACTATTATCCTTAGAGGCAAGTCCTAGATTTAGTATTGTATTTGAAAACTTTGTGTATGTATTCCAGGCCCAGGGGATGAAGTTCTTGAATACCCACATAGTGATTAAACATACATAGTCTCTTCTCTTGAAGTGTAAAGGTCCACAACGTATAAATTAAACACACTACCACAGCTGCTCAGGCCCTCAGCTACCTGGGTTTTTCAAGACTTTCACAGCAGGCGTTTGGCACTTAACAGTAGCTCAAACAGCGGGTCTCATTATTGCAGTGTTCGCTAAGTTGTTGTTAGAGCCTTGTAGGTGTGCAGTATCTCGCCCTCCTCCTCTTCCCCTTGCTCTCCCAGCACAGATGGGACACCCTGGTTCCTGAATGAAACTGAGCAAGTCCGGCATGCTTCACTGCCCCTTGCCATGTGGCATTTTAATGAATGAAACTATTACCTTTCACTTTTCCAAAAGGGCCGTGTTGAGAAAAGTGTTCAGTGACCTGAGGTCTGTCAGTAGAAAAATAGTAACTTAAACATACTGACTCAAGGGAGGAAGGGCGCAAGTGCATAGCAAGCCGAATTCCGTCACCGCCTGCATTCTAAGCTGCTGTCCTGTGGAAGGCTTGATTGCCAGGTTCATAATGTTTTTTCCTAATTGGCGGTCTCTCCCCTGTGCTAGCCTGCAGTGTACATCAGAATAAGGAACCGGGCCCAGGACGAGTACCTGACCGTCACCGGCAACGTCGCTGACACAAGGGCAACATCTGTGTGCGTTTCTCCCTATAGCGGCAAGACCACTCAGGTTTGGCACTACTGCCGAGGACTCTTCAAGTCCAAGGTAACCACCCACTGATACCTCACCCTGCCTTTTGGCTTTTTCTTTTGGAAACCAGAATCTTGCCCGATGAAATGGGAGTATAAAATAATGCAAAGGTCGGGGCACCTGGGTGTCTCAGTCGGTTGAGCGACTGCGGCTCAGGTCAGGATCTCACGGTCCGTGAGTTCGAGCCCCGTGTCGGGCTCCTGTGCAGACAGCTCGGAGCCTGGAGCCTGCTTTGGATTCTTTGTCTCCATTTCTCTCTGCCCCTGCCCTGCTCGCACTCGGTCTCTCAAAAAGTGTATAAACATTTAAAAAAAAAACTTAAAATAATGCACCTTCCTAGAAACAGTTGTATGATTATTCAGATACTGTGATGTATATTACTAAGGCTTTTCAGTGAAATCGACTTAGAAACTGAATTTTCTAGATGGGAAAATTCTCTATTTGAAGTGAAAAACTAAGGTTATCACACACTGGATATGCCTAAATGATTTTTTTTTTAATTTTTTTTTTTTCAACGTTTATTTATTTTGGGGACAGAGAGAGACAGAGCATGAACGGGGGAGGGGCAGAGAGAGAGGGAGACACAGAATCGGAAACAGGCTCCAGGCTCTGAGCCATTAGCCCAGAGCCTGACGCGGGGCTCGAACTCATGGACCGCGAGATCGTGACCTGGCTGAAGTCGGACGCTTAACCGACTGCGCCACCCAGGTGCCCCTAAATGATTTTTTTAAAACCAGTGACAACTCACTGGATTCAACTGGACATTGTGCTTTTGTGACACATTCCTTACTGTGGCCCAGGTAAAATCAGGTGTCTGTGATTTAAACATGTTAAACCTTTCGCTTTCAAAATACACAAGGAAGCAGTAGTACAAGAAGTTGTTACTGGAGAAAGCTTAGAAAAACCAAGTTTACATTGTGATGCTCCTTTACATTTGATGCTCTGGGGAACAGAACACCAGTTTTATTATGTCACCAATGGATTGCCTACCTTTTTCTCATCAACAAAAATGAAAAGCACTTAAGAGTAATTATCATTGGCTATCTAGCACATCACGGATGCTTTCATAGGAAAACCAAGCTCCAGTGATCCGATACGTTTATGCTAATAAACATTTAATTGTAATGCAGCAAACCTTCATTGACCATCTGTTGTCAGATGCAGGTATCCTTTTAAAAAATGAGCACCTCTATTTCAGTAGATCTATTTCTGTACCATCTCCTCTCAGCCATAAAGAAGACTTAAAAAGTTAGTGGAATTGTAACTATGCTATACAGTCTTTTTTAGATGGGAGTTGTGTAAAGAAAAGGGACCCCGTTCACTTGATTCGAGATAACACAGTGCTGCCAATTTTCTTCCTAATCCTCTTAGGCCAGTGATACATGCCTGGATGTGATTGGTGGCCGGGACACACCTGGAGCCAAAGTGGCTCTATGGACCGAACACGGACAGTTCCGGCAGAAGTGGAGGCTGAACAGAAATGGAACCATCAGCTCCTATCTCAGTGATCAGCTTGTCCTTGATGTTAAAGGTGGGCCTTTGAACAAACCCACAGGACAAACGTTGTGTGTCCCTGGATGTAATGTAAATTCCAAACCTCCTCCTCTTCCTGGGTAAAAGAAATACTAAGCTATTTCTAATTATTCTTGAAAAGAGATAACGCTGTTTTAATGAACAAAACAATTAGCTACTTGGATCAAGTAGGAAAAGCCTAAGGACAAACCTTAGAAGGTTTTTGTACATTAGTACAGTTGTAAAATCCTCATTTGCTACGTGATCTTTGAGAACATTTGTAAATGTGAAGCTTCATCAACTATAAGATGTCCTGTTTCTTAGAAAGAAACCTCTTTTTGCTGTGAACTGCTGTACTCCTTAAAAACCTTCAGTTAAAACTGACGGTGGGTATTGTTCAAGCTTGTTTATTAGCAAGGTCCGGGCTGTTGCTTTAACTGGCTTAGTCATAGCCACTGTCCGTGTGGAAGCAAAATCACAGCCCCTGACATTCAGCCAGAGCCGCCTCCGACCCAGCGCTTTGACTGCAAAAGCAGTGTGCCCCAACAAAGCGATTCTGAACAACAATTTACACCCCTTAGTTTTTCAGTTTGAGCCATGATAAGGTCCGGTTTGAGGTTAATAACAGCTAAGCTTATTTAAACTCAGTTTTCCATCTCAGGCTGCTCTGTAAATCAAATATTATTCTACCACACAATGGGCTGAACAAAAGCTTGTGAACATGGTTAAGCACCTGTGTGAACAAATCATCTTTTCTTTTGGAATTTCTATTGTAGGAGGAAATTATTATGACAAGACTCATGTAATTGTAAATCAACCCCTGGAGGGAGAAGAAACACAGAAATGGGACATTGAAATATTGTAAGAGAATTGGCAACATCTCGAGAAAGAGCAAAGGAAGAAGGAACTTCACATCCCATGGAGAGGAAGCTCCTTGTCCTCAGACTTCTCCATCACTGAGCAGAAGGTTTTCTCCCAGGTTCCAATCCATTGTTGTTAACCGTGGAAAAGCTCAAAGTGTTCTTGCCAGCTATTCAGTGTTCCTATGAAGAACACATGTTCTGATTTCTGTGAAAGGTTCTATTCCTGCTTGATCTCCATCAAGTGTGTGTTTTCTCTCCTAAGATCCTCCTAGTAGATGGGTGTGAGTGCTTAGCACAGGACAACAGATTCCTTTAGGTCAGGTTGTACTTTGCCTAGAAGATAATTTTTTAGCAATACCTGAAAACATATTTAATAAGCCTTCCTATTAAGCTGCTGTATTTAGGTAAGCCTTAAAGGTTCTTCTCTATTGAAGCTTTTATAACAGAAGCACCTTAAGTATTCATACTTGTAACTGACCCCAGGGAGGACCTCAGCTTTGTTAGGAAAAAGGCTCAAGTACTGGCATATTTTCTGTGGCCAAGCTAAAAAAAGCTAAAAAAAACAAAAACAAAAAAAAAAAAACAAAAAAAACACACAAATAACCTGTGGCCATCCTTTTCCTCTGTAGTACCAGGCACCCTTCAGGGTGGCAAGACTGTAACCAGTGGTCACCTGTCCTGGTGCTGAGGCCTCATCCTAGATTCTGCCTGATCTGCCCTCGAGGAGTGTTTAGTCACAGTTTTCTTTACTGAAGTAAATTTCAGATGTTCAAATGAAAACCCAAATAGTATTTGAGCCTTGACTCTACCATTTTATTTAATTAAATGACTGAAAACTCAGCTTTCCATTTATAAGCAAAATCAGGTTGGATATCAAGTAATGGTTACCACCTTTAAAAATTAGTTCTTAGTATTTTTTCCTCCTGAGTTGGTTTTAAACAAATTGAGACAGCTGTTCCCCCTCATACCCAACTTTTACCAGAAAGCAAAAAACCACCTATTTTTATATAGATTCAATCTGCTAGCAATATTTTTAAATATCCCCCTATAAGCACTTTAGAATATAAAATAACAGTGAATTGTTTAAACACAAAGACCCGCTATTTTGAGCATTTTTTTTATAGAGACTTGGTCTTTCCATGTAAATTTCCTTCACTCTCAGGCTTTTTGTCATCTTTGAAGCAGCGTTGTAAAACTCCCTTAAGCCCATAGATGTGAGTGCCTCTCATTAGTTTGGCAGTATTTAATGAAACTTATAGGGGTAAATTTATTTTAATGGGGGGGTTATGTATACACAAAGGTATGTATATTTTCATTGTAAAAAACCAATTTAAAATTTCTTTAATTGTTGAAAAGATTTTTATAGAGCCAGTGAAGCTCTTTAAAGAAGTTGTTTCTTCCAAAGAACAAAGCCAGGTAAATGACATTCAAATTTCAGTGATACATTTATTGGAGTTGTACCTTTTCTACCACACTGGATTAAAGAAGTTTGTCAAAAGTACAGTTTTGTTACTTTCTGAGACATACACTTCATCTGCCATTCTTTCCTCCATGTGCCTCTGTAATACACATGGCCAACCAACTTCCTGAAACAGGGAGGGCTCACGTTGTTAGGTAAGGACAGTTGTAGAACCATTCCCAAGCTGCTGACTGAAAGCAACAGAAGCTGCCTAGCACATAAATGTTTGCTCCTCCTCTTCTCATACGTATGTAACAGATGGTCCGTTCTCAATTCTGGAAAGGCACTAGACTACCTGGATTAAGCATTCTGTCCAGAGGGATAACACCAGATTTTCCTTTTCCTCATCTGTAGGAAGTTTCAGGTTCTTGACAGAAACAGCTGGATGGCCCCAAATTTGCTTCAGTGCATCCATATGTGATAAAGGAAAGCGAAGTCCATGAGACTGAAAAAGGACAAACCATTTAGATAAAAAATGTACTTTCATAAAAAAAACTCCTATAGTTATCAGTACATCATTTTTGATAACCTTAAAAGTAGGCAACCTACAGAACTGGCCAATTCCCATATAAAAATTTAGACTTTATGAAAGGCATCCTAGTTTATATAATAGTCATTTGCACTGCTTCATATTTATTACATTACACATTTCCTTCAAGGCTGCAAGTCCCAGCTAGGATCTTTTAAAGCTGGTATATGTACATCACAGAACTGTCTGGCTTCATCATCCCCATGCAAGGGCTTTGTCAATTGTGTGAAACGTTAAGTCCATGCTGCGATCATAAAAAAGCACATCACCCATAAATCAAAGGTAACACATTCTTCCCAGCCACCACCAAATCACAGGAAAGACATTTTAGGTTGGAACGGACCTCTGTTTCCTCATTTCCCATCATGTGTGTCTCTCTCCTGTTCTTTAAGGAATGATAGATGTAAATCATCTTTTCCTGAGTTTCGTCCTTTAAAAGAAAAAAAGGGGAGGGGTGGGTTAAGTTGTCAACAACAAAATAGGAGGTGACTACTAGGAGTGTTTTCCAATAATGAAATTCAACACCCAGAATACTGTAAAGAATCTTTTTGACACAAAATGATTATATACAAGGTATATATTATAATCAGATTACTATTTGTATGTAACAAATAGGCACTTTTTAAAGAGTGTAGCTGGTAGAACATCATCAGAAATGGGGTTTAAGAAAACAAATGTTTACATATCAACTTATCAATGAAACACAAGTTTGTTCCTTTGATCCTAACAGCACAGTTTTATGTCAGAATTTGACATTCCCAGTTATAGATAAGCTGACAATTTATGAACACCATGGAGCAAATATTACCAGCCACAGGAGCTATAAAAACTTCCAATTACAGTAGCCTCCCAAATAGTCCCAACTTCCCTTCCTTTCCATCCTACACAGGGGGGTTTATCATCCTCATCAGAATCCTCACTCATTCCTGGTCACCTCTTACATCAGGGTCAAAGACCTTGGCCTGATACAGAAGGTCTCAAATTCTGTATATCAGAATAATTCTGATTATCAGAATAACTAGGATTTTTTTTTTTTTAATAGGAATACAAGAGTGTATACTTCTGAGGTTTTTTTTCCTGTGTGTTTTATAAATCAGTCCTCTCCAGGTCTGGCCATGATGGCTGTGACAGTCTGCTTATGGACACACCTAGCTGCCCCACACTCTCATCCCCTTCCAATCATTTATGGAGTACCTATCAAGATAGCGAATTAAAAGGAAGAGGGTGAAGTCATAGGGCAGGGGATGGTGTCCAGGGAGCTTTACTAATAAATAGAGAAGCTCCAACCCAGAGCAGATGAAACCCAGGAATTTAAAACTTCTAAAACTTTTCCAGTTGGGGCACCTGGGTGGCTCAGGCATTTGTGCCTCCGACTCTTGATTTCAGCTCAGCTCATGATCTCACAACAGTGAGATCAAGCCCTGAATCAGCATGCCCAGCATGGAGCCTGCTTAAGATTCTCCTTCTCTCTCTTTGCCCTTCCCCCACTGGCACTCACTCCAAAAAAAAAAAAAAATTCCAGTAGAGTCAAGGATCAGTTAGCCAGTTCTGGCAACCATAGGATTAGGTGACAAGGTTATGGAATGTCGACTTTCTTCTCCATGATCTACAAGATAGAGATTTTTTGAGAAGAAACCTTCACAAAGCCATACATAATGATAGATTTGGACAACATTCAGGAGGGGAGAGGGACTGAGGGAGGTGCATGAACAAGGGTCTGCAGTTATCTGAGCAAGAGCAGTATGGCCTGAGACCAGGCAATAATCTCCACATGAGGGGAATAAAGGAGAATCTGTGGGGATGAGGGCAAGCCCCAAACGTCCAACAGGCAGGCCTCTCTGGCCCAGTGAGATGTAAGCACCATCTGATTGATGTAAAGCCAGGGCACAAAGTTATGAGGACAGATGCATGAGGGGTAAAGGCAGGGGCTGTTTGTTAATTTGATAACCTGAGGCCCGTGACAGAAATGTTCTGAGAAAAGAGGAAACCTCCTCCCCTCTGTATACTCACAGACTGATCCTGATGCAGCCCTACTGTGAGGATGGTGTGGTCTTTAAACTGCAGTCTCACTGTGCTGTCCAACCTTGGTAACTGTCCACCTAGAAGACCCACAGGGAGAAAGACAACCTTCACAAGAGGAAACCCAGGTTGAATCTTGTCTGTGGGTAAAATCTAAATGTGGGGTACCCTCCAACTCAAGTATTGGCTTACCCTATATTTATAATGATACTGAAATATAGTTTATATCCTTATGGAGCTCATTCTTCCAGTGCAGATGTTTAACAGATCAGTAACGATAGATGGTTAAGCATATTAAATAGATGTATACAATACCATGGAAGCATGACAACTGTCACAATAGGGCCACCATGCCTTCTGCACACAACACTCCCTTCCCCAGTTTCTGTCCTCTGCCTCTTGCTCTACACGTGGACCCTGAAAGGACTGTGTTCAAACTGCACCATCTCACCAACTAGTTGTATAATCATAGCAAATTATTCTATCCATGTAGGTCAAGCATAAGATCATAAAAGCCAGCTAATAAAATTCACAGAAATAAAAAAATAGTGCTTTCCCAAGTTAGATTTAACTTAGTGAAAAAGTAGCCACTAAAAACAGACTAATCTTACAGGGTCATCTGGTTAAAGAGTCTTGAAAATACAGAGCCCTATGGACGATAATGGGTAAGACAAGGAAAACCTTAGAGAAGATATTCCGTGCCATAAGCTGATACTCAGAAAACGGTTCTATAAAGATGAAAATATATGCTGAAAAAAATCTGCTTTGAATAGGACCAAACTAATTCTAAACTTCCCCTAAAGATTGTACTAAAAATATAAATAGAATCCATGTTAGAGGCAACCTTATAGACTATTTCAGTGGTTCTCAACTATGATAAATAAGGTTTTAATAAAAATTAGTAAAAATGAGACTCTTACTCCATGGAGAAAGCACCAAGCAGCCCGAGATTGGGCCTGGAGCTCACAGCCACGTGTCGGTGCTCTGCTGAACACAGTCCCCCTGAACACCAACAGTAAGCAAGGCCCCTCCTCTGTGAGAGAGCCAGACTAAAACAAGACCGCTCCACAATCATGTCTGAACTCAGGCAAAAGGAAGAACTTTGTCCCAACCTCCAAAAGGACCACAGGTCCCCATCCTGCTAATCCGGGAAGCAGATCCCATTTTACTAATTCCAACTTCAGCTTCCTTTCACTCCTCCTGCCTACAGAAGACCCAATTAGACTCCCTATTTTCTGACAGCATCCAACTCAGAGCAAAGCCCCACTCTCTTAACCCTCCTAAAAAATCACCTAACCAGAGCCCAAATCCTATAAAGCCTTCCAACACTCTTTTACTGAGATGCCCCACAACCCTCAATAGTGTGTGGTCTTCCCAGTTGCAGTAAGTCCTAAACCCATTTGTCCCCCTGCAGGAGTGCCATACTGATGGTATACTATCACCATCTATCCACAAGTGTTAGGTCATTTGCAGCCTAAACCTGTCCCAAAGTAGTCACATGGGACTTAGGGAAAGTTGGTGACCACCTTGGGCATTCTTAAATTTCACCTGCTGGTGGCAACATTTTACCCATCACTGAGTTCATCTTGTTGGAATTAGTTCAGTGTTCAAGTTATTAAAACTTCCTGAAGATGATGAATACCAGAGGACCCATAAATACACCTATTTTTCACCCACAATCACAGGGCTCTTTCTCCCCAACATGCTGGGAGGCAGGATGCCTAAAGGTACAGCATGTCCTATCCAAACGTAACATGCCAAAGACAGATCCTGGTCCACCTTACCAGCTTCTTGGGGCACCTGAGTGGCTCACTGGTTAAGTGATGGACTTTCGATTTTGGCTCAGGTCATGATCTCACGCTTCGTGAGATGGAGCCCTACATTGGGCTCTGCACTGACAGCATGGAGCCTGCCTGGGATTTTCTCTCTCCCTCTCTCTCAAATAAACTTTAAGATGCTTCTTACTTTCCATCTTCCCAAAGAGGAGCCCACCCAGGAAAGCCTCAAAATATCCCACATCAGCCCAACCACCTAGAAGAAAAGCAAAAGCTCCACCTGGCGTTGAAAACTCTGATCCGTCTCCCATATGGTAAGGGGGAAGTCTGTTCATAACAAAATCCTTCTTCATGTCTGCTGAAAGCAGCTCTTTGGTGCCCTCCAGGCGGTCTGCAAGGGTCCTCAGAAAGCCACTTAATCTTGTTGCAACAGCTGTGGCTTCCACCTGCTGGAAAGAGATGTGAGTGCTGGCCCAAACTCCAACAAGACTTACCACCAAGGTCCTGGTCTCCAAAGTAGTACACTGAGCATAATCACCCAGTACAGACGAAGATCCATGATGCTTCTGGGGGTACGGGGCAGGGGACAACCAGTGTGTTTAAGAATACCCCATTATTTCCTTGTAACCACTATTCATCATAAGCTGCCTTTTGTTAGCCAAAACAAGATCAATTGTCAGGATTTTGCCTAGAAAGAGGGATCCCTAGAAATATGGTGCAGTCTCGGCTCTGCCTTTAGGAAGGCAACTCATCGTCCTGAGGTGACTGCTTCAGACAGTGAAAGTAACCTTTGCTCATCTTAGCACTAATTCAGTCACCTCAAAACTAGCCTAACAGTGCTGCTGTTTCAAACATAAAACAAGGATGCAGAGGAAAGCCAGGAATACCCCAGTACCCCAAGGATCTCCTGTGGGTCTCTCCTAAGTAATCATGTGCAATCAATCTATGGCTCTCCTAGCCACACGTCTTACTTATTCAACCACTTATTCAGCCAGCGTCCTCACAGCGCCTGCTACTGCCACCGTGACATATGGAAAGAGGGCTGTCTGCACAACACCCTAGGCTCTTTGGGTCCCACGTCACGTGCGGCACGACCCTCCTCTGCAAACCTCCCAGCTCTGCCATCAGCCCAGGAGACAAGCTTGACTCCTGTGGGAGGAAGGATCCTGGAGTCCCTCCGAGGGGGACCACGGCTTCTGCCGGCCTGGGCTGCCACTCCCCCCACCCGCCTTCACTCCTCACCAGGAGCAGCTGCCGGGGTATGCCAGCCCGGAACTCCAGATCTTCCTTTGCGGTGTCAAACACAAGCCCCGACATGGTGTCCAAAAGGAAATCTCCCCATGAACTGCAACATGCACCAAAAAAGAAAACAGAGCACACACGGAATTTACAAAAAACACTGATTTCGAGAGTAAATCCCAAAGCTACAAAGGGCATTCCAACTTTCTTCCCTTCCCCAGGCATCGTGAGTTTAATTAATTTGACATTACTCAGCACAAAAAACTTTAAAAGACCTTCATCAATCACACAGCTTCTCTCCCCCGCCTTTCCCAGACACTCACGTGGAAAGTTAAAAGTGGGAAGCTAGACTTTATTCACAATTTTTCCTAAAGATACCACACAATCATATACAGTCTAAGTGGGAAGTTCAAGGGACCAATATTTTTTAATGTCTTTAACTATAACACAAGTGTCTATGAGAGGAGCTTTGTAGGAGATTTTAACAATTATAGGACATAAAAAATGTTTACGTTCAAAAACTCCAAAAGAAATACATTTAGGGTAACCGTAAGATCCCTAGACTGTAATCATCTGAACTGTTAGACGCTACATTTTCCTTTTTCCCTTGTAATAGAGGGGCACTCTTCCCCAGTAAAATATCCAACATCAACAATTTTAAAATAGTCAACTTGCAACTTGTCGAAACTCTAGCAGTGGTTTACTGTGAGAGAAGGGTAGAATCCAATGGCCAAAAATAACATCTAGGGATGAGCATCGGTGTTCAATTACCTGTGCTTTCTCTGGGGCATTTACCACTGGCTCACTCCCAAATGTGTGCCACTGTAAGAAATGCTCTGTGGGGTTGCTCTCTTTAAACATTTCTTAGCTGTTTAAAATTTTCCTCAGTGTCACCAGATTTCAAATTGCCGGCTACGTGCAAAATGGAAATTCACAGTATGACTTTTGCTTCTCACCCACTAAGCAAAATTAACACTTTTATGCTTCCCTTCCGGAAAAGTGGCAAACGAAGACAAAAGCCACATCAGAGACACTTTCCCTAAGACGTCCACCCTTTGGCATCTTCACCACTTTATAACTTCACGTTACACCCAACCTCACAGATCTGACTGCGTGAACCTCCTCCTGGAGATTTTTCACCAGCACAAAAATAAGCTCCTTTTGCAAGGCCATAGGTGAAATCATGTGGCAGTAGCTCATGAAGAGATTAACTGCAGCTAACCAGAGCTCTGTGCTCTTTTCAGAGTCAGAATGGATGTTGGGCCTTTCCAGAATTTGAGGTTAATACCTCTTGAGGGGTTCACCTTGGTAAAATAGCCAAACCAACCTGCTGCTGTCCCACAGAGGTCCCAAAAATTCCCAAAAAAGCTACCCTTAAGAGGTGTTAGGAAAAGGCCCCGAAATCCTCACCCTGCCACAGTGCCTTCAAGAGTACTAGGACCAAAGCACAGGGACATCTCTGGGGAGCAATGGTTCTTGAGTTAAATTTGTCCCATTCTAGCCCCAGAACCACTGATAAAGGCTCAGGTCAGAGTCTGACCTACACACGTCAGTCATGGTGTCCATCCACATCCCCAGCTGACCAAAGACGTGGGTGGGACCCAGGGAAGAGCCCACTAGCTCTTCACTCTTGGAACTAGGAAACAGTTTAGCAAAAGTAAAAGCTATTAAGTTCACTGAGATAAAGGGAGGTCAGACAAGGAACCTAATAATGGCTTATGGTGAGTCAATGTTATGAGTGAACAGAAGATGAGGAAAGACAACAAAGTACGTGAAAAACCAATTACTAGGAAACCAGTCGGGGCCAGTAAGTGAAACGCAAAAGACAGAGAATCACAGAAAGAGGGAGGAGCTGAGTAACATTAATGGCGGGACACCAGAAGCTACATGGACATGCATGGTGCCAAACTGGCTGTCAAGGCCCAGAGGTACTTTGTACCCACAGTGAACTTCAGGTTCTGGCCTCCCTGTGGCTGGCTCTTTCCACTTCCTACAATCCCACTCCCTCAACTGTCCCCGCTCTTCTTAAGCTGGCCTTGGTGACTTTCTGTTCCCGGCCATGCCCAAGAATCTGCCTAGCCACAGTGACAAAGGCATTTTTCATAAGCTTTGGCCTTCTATTTGTGGGCAAGGAATGCACTAACTTTAGGCCAGGCTCCAGCAAGTTCCTCTGAGCAGCCTCTTAAATGCAGGGGTTAATTTCACCCAGAAAACCCAGATGAGGAAGTAGAAGTACCTTACTAACTTGTTTTGCAAGTTATGGCTTTGAAGGTAGGAGGGGACTTGGCTGTCCGTCAGGACTAGAATGCCTCTCCTACTTTGACCTTCTGACCCACCTCTACTTACTCATCCTTTGAGACTCACTCAGCTTGGGTGTCAAGTCATTTCTGAAGCCTTCCTAGACGCCCCAGCTTGGCAAAATGCATTCCTCTATGCTGCAAGAGTTCCCCCTGCACACCCATGACGGAATCTGCCCCGACTTCCAGACTGCAAGTTCTCTCAAAGCCCCTTCAGTAACAGGCCTGCATTCCCAGCAACTAGCACAGCGGCTGGTGCCTGCAGGCTGTGATACAGTAATGACTTTCAAGGAGGTCTGGACTACTAGCAAGGTCGCTGCTGTTCAGAAATCACTCACAGGGAGGGCGCTTCTGCCTGGGTCCTGTGAGGAGGCACTCACCGAAATGGAACACAGTTTTAATTAGAACTGTTTTCAGCACATGTGAGTTTAGGTCTTACTGTTCCAGACTTCCTCTCCTACATAACTTCATGAACTTTCATAAAAGACAGAAACCTTAAAAGAGATCCAGAGGTTTCAGTGGACACGAGGGTTTCTGTTTGGGGTGATGAAATGTTTTGGAAACAGATAGTCGTGATGCTTACACAACAGTGTGAATGTAATTACTGTCACCAAATTGTACACTTAAAAATGGTTACAGTGGCATATACTACGTTGTAAATATTTTACTGCAATAAAAGATTTTTAAAAAGAGACAGACTACCAGTTCAGCCTGGCATCATTAACACTGCCACAGCTACAGCTATGGTTCTTTCGTCCCAAATTTGCGAGTCTTCATTGGGTAAATCCCAATGTTCATGGCATTCCCAGGAGGAATCCCCGACGGGGTGATGGCAGGGAGAAGACTCTAAAGGAGTATGGAGTTAGCAAGGGAGCCTGAATGAAACCCCTGAGATTGGATAAGCAGGACAGTAGTGGCCAACTCCCTCATTCCCTTCCGTGTGTGGTTGCCCCGGGCCACAACTTGAGCTGCCCTGGGACATGAGGCTGAGAAGAGGGTCATACTTGTTCTGGTAGGTGCTGATGGTCACGTGAGTAGAGTGGGCCAGACCTGGAGGAGTGTCCGCTTGATGAATGGTCCCTCTGGGGAAGTACAGGAAATCACCCGGCTAAAGGAAGAAAAAGAAAAGGGAGGAGGGAGTTGATAAGGAGGAGGTCTTCTCAATCCCTTGTCTTAAAGAAACAAAAATAGGCTCTGAGTTTCAGTTCTCCCTTCTAGAGACCTTCTACTTACTGATTCATGGGGTGGTCTGTATGCTGGGCTCCTGGGGTCCCGTTAGTCTAGCTTCACTGTGCCTGAGTCTGTTACTGTGAACCCCAGTCCTGAGAGGCTTTCAGTACCCGAAGTCACTTTCGTTATTCACAGCCGAGACCAGTTACACTTGAAACTGCCCCATCCCAATCCAGGGATCAAGCAGGTGACCTCCTGTGTCTGGGAAGCCTGCACCCTTCCTCTCCACCCTCTGAAGGGTCCAGTGATCAAGAGTAGAAGCTTTGGAGTCATACAGACGTTGCCATTTACTGGCGAGGAACCTCAGAAAATTAACCCACCAAAGACCTGTAAAATGGAGGCAATGGCCCAAAATTCACAGACTTATTTTCAGGATTAAAGGAGATGCCATATCCAGAGGTCTTGGAACAGTGACAGGCAGATGGTTGTACCATAAGTACTATTTTACCTGCCACTCCCCCATCAACCATCAGGAAGTTTGTGAGCTCTTCCAGGAAGGGTCGAGGTCCATCGTGTGTCCTCCAGAACCTGAACTCCCAAAGCATCAGGTGTACAATAGAGGCTCAATGAATGTGTGGATGACTAGTTGAAAAACCATGTAACCCTTCCCCTGAACCTAAAAACTAGATGGAACTGAAGATCAGTCCCCCTCTTGGGCAGGTGAGCCGCCTCCATCCTGTGCTAGGTCTCGCCCAAGCCAGGGGATAGAAATATCCTTCCTCAATCACTCCTGAAGCTACATCCTCCCCAATCCCACCCAGATGAGAAACATTCCATATAGCAGTTGCCTAAGGAGGAGAGGCAATCCTGATAGCCGCTAGCCTCCCGTCTGCAACACGGGAAGCAGTCTGACTCTGGTTAAGAGCCCAGGAGGTGTGGTTCAAGAGACAGCAGATAAAAAGACAAACCAAAAACCCTTTCCTTAACGTTAAGATTTTCCTTTGAAAGAAACAGTATACAATTAAATATATTCATAAGGGCTATCTTAGAGGCTCATTCACCCTGAAGGACACCAAACTGACAGGGAAATTACCACTTGAAGCAAATGCTTGACTCACAATTACAGCTATCATTTGCTCAGTGTCTCTGCACCACCCTCCAAATGAGACCTTCATTCATTCATTCATTCATTCATTCATTTATTCATCCCACAACCATTTGGTTAACCCCTCTCCATCCCCCTCCCACGCCAGGCAAGATGTGAGGCACTGGGGTTAGAGCATTAAACAAAGACCTGCCCCTTTGTAGTTCATTTGAGACGAGAGCAAACATTTGAGAAGAGAGAAGAGACAATGAATACAAGAAAAACACTCGAGTGGGGCGAGGCAGAAAATAAAGCAGTAAATAATGTCAAGCAGTGGTAAGTGCAATGAAGACAAAGAAGCAGAAGACGGACATGAATGATGCATATGGAGGTGGTGGGCAGGGTGTGCCTGGGGTAAGAGATGCCACTGTCATCCAGGATGGGCGCTAAAACCTCACTCTGCTAGACTGACATTTCAATTGAGACTTTAGAGAATGAGCAAGCTAGCCAAGTGACTACCTGGGCCAAAAGGATTCCAGGCAGGGGGAAGAGCAAGGGCAAAGGTCCTGAGGTTAAAAACGTGCTTGGGTCCATGTGGCAGGAGAGCAGTGAGGGTGGAAATGATGGGAGGTGAAGTGAGAAGGCAGCAGAGGGGCTGGATTACAGGACCTTCTGGCCTGTTTTAAAGACTCTGGCTTTTATTCTGATTTAATAGAAAGCTACTGTAGATCTGGGCAAAGGGTACAATGGATCTCAAAAGATCATTACGGTCATGTCAGAAAAGCCTGCAAAGGGGATACCAGATAGGAGGCTTTTGTATAAATCCACATCCAAGGGTTTTATCCTGAACAAGCAGGAAAATGTGTCACATTTACAGGAAAGAAGGCTGGGGACAGCAGGAAATGGGAGTTTGCTTTGCAGAATACTAAGTTTGTGACACCTTTTATCTTTCCAGTAGAGACATTAAGTAGGCAGTTGGATAGGAGTTTAGAGACGTGGGCTAAAGACAGGACATAGCATTGCAAATACATCAGTCTAAAGGGAATTTATTTTTAATTTTTTTTTAATGTTTATTTGTGAGAGAGAGAGAGAGAGAGAGAGAGACAGTGTGAGTGGGGGAGGGGCAGAGAGACAGGGAGACACAGAATCTGAAGCAGGCTCCAGGCTCTGAGCTGTCAGCGCAGAGCCCGACATGGGGCTCAAACTCACGAACCGTGAGATCATGACCTGAGCCGAAGTTGGACGCTTACCGAGTGAGCCACCCAGGGGCCCCAATTTATTTATTTTTAAATGTTTTATTTTTGAGAGAGAACAAGTGGGGAGTTGCAGAGAGGGAGGGGACAGAGGATCCAAAGCAGGCTCCTCACTGACAGCAAAGAGCCAGATGCGGGGTTTGAACCCACAAACCGTGAGGTCATGACCTGAGCTGAAGTCTCAGCCCCTCTAGAGGGAATTTAAAACCATGGGAGTGGGTATGGATTGAGGAAAGAGGTCCAGGAAATAAACCCTGGCATCCTAACTTTCAGAGGTGCAAAGACTGAAGATAAAACAGCCAAAGAGAATGAAGAGGAACAGCCAGTAAGCAGGAAAGAGAAGCAAAAGAGGCTGGCATCCTAGAAGCCCAGTGAGGAAGGTGGGAGTGAACCACTGTGTCCAATGAGGCTGACAGGAGGATGCTAAGATGGGGACTCAGACGGGGGCACCTGGGTGGTTCAGTCGGTTAAGCGTCCAACTTCGGCTCAGGTCACGATCTCACGGTTTGTGGGTTCGAGCCCCATCAGACTCTACACTAACAATGCGAAGCCTCCTTGGGATTCTCTCCCTCTCCCTCTCTCTCTGCCCCTCCCCTGATCATGCTCTCTATCTCTAGCTCAGAATAAATACAACTTTAAAAAAAGGAATGATGGGAACTCGGTGGCAAGCACTGTACTTGACAACGTGGTAGCCCCTGGTAACCTTGGGGAGACTGGTCCTGGAGCAAGTCTGGGGGTGGGGGGGGGAGCCTCCTGGGAGGTATTCCCAGGAGCAGGAGAGAAGACTGGGCAGGGTCCCTGAAGATGTCTGTGGCCTAATCCCCGGCATCTATGAATATAGATGATATGAATAGGCTGTGAATGGAATTAAAGTTGCTGAGAGGGAAATTATTCTGGATTATCCGGGCAGGTACGACATAATCACAAGGATCCCTAAAAGTAGAAGATGGTACAGGAGGAGAGAACCAAAGAGATGTTAGCGTGAGAAAGACTGGGCTCTATGTTCCTGGCTTTGCAGATGGAGGAAGGGCTGTGAGCCAAGGAATGCAGGAGGTCTCTAAAAGCTAGAAAAAGCATGGAAATGGATTCTCCCCTAGAGTCTCTGGAAGGAACAGTCTTGCCAATACCTGATTTCAGCCAAGGAAAACCAAATCCCTTCTGGACTGATGAACCACAGAACTAAATGTGTGTTGTTTTAAGCCACTGAATTTGTGGGAATTTGTGGTAATTTGATAAGCAGTAATAAATGTACTGACATACAGCCGTCTCTTCCAAGGAGTTTCACTGTAAAGGAGGCATCAAAACCTATCCTTCCGGGGCACCTGGATGGCTCAGTTGGTAAAGCATCCGACTTTGGCTCAGGTCATATTCTCACAGTTCTTGAGTTTAACCCCCACATCAGGCTCTGCGCTGACAGCTCAGAGACCAGAGCCTGCTTCAGATTCTGTGTCTCCCTCTCTCTCTCTGCCCCTCCCAGCTCACACTCTGTCTCTCTCAAAAATAAACAAATATTAAAAAAAACAAAAAACAAAAAACTTCAGTTCTTACAACCTACAAGGTAAATATTATGCTCTCATTTTCAATAAAGGAGAAACTGAGACTGACATAAACAACTTGCCCAAGAACACATAGCTCTTAAGCGACCACAGCTACATTCAAAACCAGGCGTGTCAGGCCCCAAAACCACAGAGTGGTGCTTCCATCACAGGGGTGGTCTTCATCCCAAGATCCCAGGTGTGATGACCTTCGTCGTGGCCTTCATGCCCACCCCGCCCAGAATGACTCAGCTTTTCTGTTTCATATACTAAGCATTTATGCCAAGATTTCATTTGAGGATCTTCGGTGGTTTAAAATTCACATGTATATAAATGTGCAATTGCGAAAAAACCCTACGGTACCTGATGCTTGCCTTTCTCCTCCTAGGAGACTCAGGGCTGCTCTTAATGAATGGAGATCCTCACGAGTGTGACCAATGGGCATCGCTCCATGACATCCCGGCCTCCCAGCACCGCCTCACAGAACCCACATCATCTATACCTGAAGACCACTATAAAGACTAACTTTCTTGGGTAGGGCCAGTTGGCTGTCATCAAGCTAAGGAACTCAGCCTGGGCCTCAGAGACCATGGATAGCTTAATCTTTCCCTAAAAATAATCAAACAAGAGCCTATTCAACATGCTTCATGGAGAACAAGGGTTGGTAAACTCTTTTTGTAAAGGGCTCCATGGTAAACATTGGTTCATGGGCCATGTGGTCTCTGTGGCAACCAGCCAACTCTATGGGTGCAATGTGAATGGAGCCCTAGACAATAAATAAGGAATACATATGGTTGTGTTCCGGTAAACTTTATTTACAAAAACAGGCAGCAGGCCATTATTTCTGGCCCATGTGCCATGGTCTGCTGACTGTTGACCAAGAACTTAAAAAAATGATACCTTTATTGTGTCTATTCAAATCTCCTGTAATGTAAGCACACATCAAAAAAGGAGATTGCTTCTCCTAGGTACAGGCGGGCAGGAAAACTTTTTAAAATCAAGAAAGGTCCATAAGGCATTGAGTAGTTATAACTAGTGATAAATTCAAGACACAAGAAATGCAAAAACAGTAACTATACACATCAAGTTGGTAGAATCTCTGGAATGGTTTGAGCTAACTATGGTATCTTAATTCAATATATAAAGTTGAATTAAGGACCTATTCTCATCCCTCTAAGATTTTTTTCTCAGCAATCTCACCTGCTAGGGATTGGCTACGAGTCCACCCAGGCTAACTGCTCAAACACAGACTCTTTCTGTAGCAAGATGCCGGCGAGCCTGCCACCACGATCAAGCCACCTGGCTTCCCGGAGTAAGATTCCTTAAGACCTTTCATTATTACTATTCTTCTGGTGGCTACACATGCAGGGGGAGGGAGGGGAGTGCAGAGAGGGTCTACTGTACAATCAGGAGGAGAGTGGGTCATGCTAGCATTCTACCAACAAAAAAACTAAGAAGCCCCTGGCTGTGCTCTGCCTGAGCAAGCTACAGCCCAGTCCTGACTGCTCTCTTAGATTTGGTGAAGCTGCCCCAGGCCAAACCTTCCACTTCTCAGTCAGTAGTCACCGAGCTCATAATCCATTCCTGTGGAACTTGGGTTATATTTGAAGACAGGTTGTTTGGAAAATGAATGTAACATTTCCTCAGCTCAATTCTACACATGCAAACACCAAGTCTCCTTTACAAGCTGCACGTGGCCGAGTGAGAGCCACCCTCCCCCCTCCCACGCTCTTGCGTGTATTCTGAGGACCATCACACAAACACTAAACCCCAGACCTGAACTTGACTCACGAGCAGCTCCCGTGATAGAGGTCCCGTACCTTCAACGTGAACTCATGTGTCGGCCTCCCAATCCTGTCCTCGGCCTCCACGCTGTACTCTCGTGCCAGGGGCACAGTGGGGTGGTAAAGGCACCAGTGTTTCTCCCCCTCCAGCTGCAGGATGAAAACCTAAAGAGAGCCACAGGACCTGGGAATGTCAGCTTCTGGACAACTCATGAGGCAAAGCGGTTCTAGGGTATTAGCCCCGCCAAGGGCTTCGATGAATTACACATTCCAGATGGAAAATAAAAATGAGAGATTAGTGATGTGTTTCACTCTACACTTGAATAAAAGTTGCCACTACTGCTTTTCACTTTTTAAAAAACAGGTCATCATGAACCTTGATACTGGAAGGATATTCATTCTTTTCAGTGTAATAAGGCCTCACTGGGCTCTTTATATCCCACTATCTCCTTCCTTTAAGTCTTCTATCAGACAACAAAGCCCATAATCTCTGAGGGAAAAGCCAAGTTTGAGAAATAACTCATGGTGCCTAAAATCCTGAATATCATCCTTGGCAGATAGGAAAACGTCAAGTTTTTTATTCTTCATTCAGCCAAAGATATCTTAAAGCTCTGTTTAAAATATTAAAAACAAAATCAAAAACTTTTGGGAAATGTATTGCTATCAAATTGCCTTCAGAGGGGGGAAAAAGGAGACGTTTTACTAATAACTGTATTAGTATAAAAATAAAAGTACAAAATGCCCAAGCCAAAGAGTTACCTTTTTTGGCAGCCACATGAGAGTGAAGCAACACTTGTCAAGGTGCCAGTGCTTAAGTGAGACCATGACCTTCATTCAAGCTGCCCCAAGATTTTCACAAATGGAAAAAATTATCCATTTTTGGCAGCTCCAGAAAAAGGACAAAATGAAAGCAGATGTAAAGATTACTTGTGACCTCACTTTATTAAAACCCTTACGTTGTGAAATTACAGAAAAAGCCACTCATGCTTTTCTGTGGACAGATTCAATAAATACCTGTTTTGTAGGGATATGTAGCTCTTTATATTAGTAAGGCTGGAAACCATCTTTCCTGTTTGAGAATGAGCAGGAAGCCAGTTTGGTGGGATTAATTTGGACCAACATCTAGGTGAGGTCAGGATCTCTAAGACCACACAGCAAGAAGGGCAGAGAGCTGAAATGAACCCTGACAGCTAACCCAGGCCCCAAGAGAACAATTTTCTTCCTCTTACCTCGACATCATCATAATGGGGTGGGAGACCCTGGGATCCTGCAGGGGTTATGTATACATTCGAGCCAACCAAGGAGCCAAAGTAGCATTCTAGCTTCTCCTGGATCCTCCAAAGCTCATCCTGAAAAAGAAAGGAGGATAGGAGGAGAGGAGAAAAGTATATTAGAAATAAGAGGAAAGACACATTCTTACTCACTTAGCAAGTCTTTATGCTGCAGCTATTATGTTCCACATACCCAAGAATTCAGCAGTGAAAGAGCCACCGCCTGTGCCCTGGAGAATCTTCCATCCTGGTGCAGACCAGCACAGACAACGAGAAACTGGCAAAGCAGGCAATCAAGAGTCATGCAGGATTTTAAGCAGGACAATGACATGAGCTAATTTATGTTAAAAAAAATTTTTTTTTAATCTTTATTCACTTTTGAGAGACAGAGCCTGAGTGGAGGAAGGGCACAGAGAGAGGGGAGACACAGAATCCCAAGCAAGCTCCAGGCTCTGAGCTGTCAGCACAGAGCCCGACGTGGGGCTTGAACCCACGAACCATGAAATCATGACCTGAGCCCAAGTCGGATGCTTACCAACTGAGCCACTCAGGTGCCCCTAATTTACATTTTTAAAAGCTCACTCTGGCTGCTATGTGGAGAATGACCTGGAGAAAAGCAAGAGAGATCAGTCTGGAAGCTACTAAGGCAGTCACCCAGGCCAGAGATGACCAGGGTGGTGGGGGAGAAGCAGAGAGGGGCAGATGCACCCTGGAAGCAGCACTGGCAGGGCCTGGGAGGCACCAAGTACAGTGGGCTGGTGGAAGGGGAAGACTATTCAAACCCTCCTGGCTTTGGATGGGCAATTAGTGCCTGGTTCCACTTACTGAAATAGTAAAGACTTATTAGAGAACAAGTTTTTTTGCAGGGGCGAAAGGGGAGATGTGTGCAGGAAGAGTTATACATTGGTTCCAGAGAGAGACAGACACAGAGAGAGAAAGAGAGAATATGAATCCTGATTTTCCCAAGCAGATGAGAAGGGAAGCCACATGGTTATTAGCACTTTCTCTATTCCAAGCCCTGTTTCTAAGGGCTTTTACATATACTGGTTATATATGTCCCCAACAACCCTGTCTCTCTCATAAGGTGAGCACTATCATCCTTCCTGGTTTACAGACGAGGAAACTGAAGCATGAGAACACACAGCTACTAGATGACGTGGCCAGGATTTAAATCCAGGCAGCCTGGCTTGAGCACTTTAACCATGGCTCCATATTGCCTCTTTTGGAATTATCTTAAGGAAAACACAGGTCACCTACAAGGACTCTAATGGACATTCAAGACCCCAAGTCTCAAGTGTATGAACGTACGGTGCCTGACACACAACAGACACTAAAATGTTTTTTTTTTTTTAATTTATTTATTTGCCTATTTTTGAGAGAAAGAATGCACGAGCATGAGTGTGCCCACAATCAGGGGAGGGGCAGAGGGACAATCCCAAGCTGGCTCCACTCTGACAGCGGCAGCCCCATGTGGGACTCGAACTCACAAACCATGAGATCATGACCTAAGCTGAAACCAAGAGTTGGACACTTAGCCAATTGAGCCACTCTGGTGCCCCGCTAAAATGCATTTTTAAAAATTTGGTGAGTAAACCCATAACCACAGCTTAGGAATCAATCCTACCATTCGACTGAAAAAGGACCTACAGTATTAAAAGTTTCAAGTGGAAAAGAATTAGGTCAGTATAAAAAAAGCTTTGGGAGACATCTTTATAAAGACTACTGGGCTACTCTATTTATAGATCTCAAGGGTTCTACTTAACACAGGAAGAATAATTTAATGGCTTCTGAATAGCTCCAAAGAGTTAAGAGAGCTCCCAAGAAGCCTAATTTATACCAGGGAGGGGCCAGCAGGACCTGGTTCTGTAATTACATTTACACGGTGACTGAAACCATTAGAAAACCAAAGCTTCTCTTTCTAATGGCTTGAGAGGTATCTCAGGACCATGTAGGTGACTTTATGGTTCCCAGCCCAAGCATCTGGGTCTATAATTGATACGTATATGTCTCCCTTCTTGTTAAAGGTTACAAAAATCCTAGCAATTGCACAATTTTCCTATTTCTCCTGAACCTTTAGCTTCTGAATCTGCCAAGTATAGCCTAGGAGAAAGAGATCAGGACAAAGCACCTCAATCCAAGATGCAGTTACAAACTAAATGACTTTCGCTTCTTTATTTGTAAAATGAGGACTCCACCTCCTTCCCCCAAGGTTGTTGGGGAACAGCATAAAACAACTTACCTGCAAACTTGTTTACATTGCCTCACCAACACTGACTCAGGCACAAACAAGGCTCTTTTGAAACCAGTCTTCTTTAATTCAGGACTCGCAACTATGCCTGGAGCTGCCCAGGAGGACCCCAGAGCAGCGAAAAGGGAAGGTGGCAGCCTCTCCCCTTGCTGGGGACAACCTCCTCTCTCCACTGACCTACTCACAAAATCGAAACTGAATGCAATTGCTAAGACCAGAGAAGCCCACGGGTACACTTAGAGAAAAGCAAAAACACACACACCAAAGCCCTACTACATTTCAAATAACATCTTTAAAAGTATGGTATGAAACTGCCTCAAATTCGGAGTCGGAAGTGCTTACTTAGCAGTTATGAAAAAGTCACATCTCTGAACCTGGTTTTTTTTTTCACATGTAAGATGCAGACCACAATGAATGCTCTATTTTAAATGTCTGTTAGAAGGTTCAAGTGAACACGTGTATTTGGTAAACTCACCCAGACCTTTGACATATGGATTACCCAAAGCAGGAGTGGAAACAACTTATGGCTTTCTGATTCCTCCTTATTCACCTCCAGACCAACTAGAATAATAAGTTGTGCACATACTGAGACCCCAATAAACAAGGCACTAACTGTCCACTAAACAGTCTCCCAACCTAGCTACTGACAAACCATCTCTAGACTTTTTCAATCCTGATATTAACATGCGCATTCCTAAATACACAACACTAGTCCTTCTGAGAAAATATTTAGAACCCAGATTCTACTTTAAGAGGATGAGCTCCCACAGCTCCTATAGGTCTCTCTACTGGTGGGAAGAGAAGACGCAGGGTGCAACCCAGTCTATCCTGGGAGCTGAGTTTAGACTGAGAAAGCTCATCCTTCCCGCTTTCATAAACCTGGCCAAAGAACAGAGTCAACGGGGCAAAGCAAGTACAAGTGTTTGGCCCACCTGGAATCAGAGAGGAGAAATGTACAGGACTTAAGAGATGAGCAGAGAAAAGCCAAAGATAATTCTAATGTACAGATATGACAGCCATTAAGGACACCATACATATGCCAAATAATAACTTTGTACTGGTTTGTGACCCAATCACATACAATCAACTTCACTGACCTTTTATGTTCATAGTTATTAGATGTCTAAAACACACATTTTTTTAAAGTTTTTATTTTTCTTCAATATATGAAATGTATTGTCCAATTGGTTTCCATACAACACCCAGTGCTCATCTCAAAAGGTGCCCTCCTCCACCTTTTGGGATGAGCACTGGGTGTTGTATGGAAACCAATTTGACAATAAACTTCATATATTGAAAAAAAAAAAAGGTGCCCTCCTCAATCCACTTCTACCCCCCCCCATCAACCCTCAGTTTGTTCTCAGTTTTTAAGAGTCTCTTAGGCTTTGGCTCTCTCCCACTCTAACCTCTCTTTTTTTTTTTTCCTTCCCCTCCCCCATGGGTTTCCGTTAAGTTTCTCAGGTTCCACATAAGAGTGAAAACATATGGTATCTGTCTTTCTCTGTATGGCTTATTTCACTTAGCATCACACTCTCCAGTTCCATCCACGTTGCTACAAAAGGCCATATTTCATTTTTTCTCATTGCCACGTAGTATTCCATAGTGTATATAAACCACAATTTCTTTATCCATTCATCAGTTGATGGACATTTAGGCTCTTTCCATAATTTGGCTATTTTTGGGGCGCCTGGGTGGCTCAGTCGGTTGAGCGGCTGACTTCGGCTCGGGTCATGATCTCGCAGTCCGTGAGTTCGAGCCCCGTGTCGGGCTCTGTGCTGACAGCTCAGAGCCTGGAGCCTGTTTCAAATTCTGTGTCTCCCTCTCTCTCTGCCCCTCCCCCACTAATGCTCTGTCTCTCTCTGTCTCAAAAATAAATAAACGTTAAAAAAAATTAAAAAAAAATAATTTGGCTATTGTTGAGAGTGCTGCTATAAATATTGGGGTACAAGTGCCCCTATGCATCAGTACTCCTGTATCCCTTGGGTAAATTCCTAGCAGTGCTACTGCTGGGTCATAGAGTACGTCTATTTTTAATTTTTTGAGGAACCTCCACACTGTTCTCCAGAGTGGCTGCACCAGTTTGCATTCCCACCAACAGTGCAAGAGGGTTCCCGTTTCTCCACATCCTCTCCAGCATCTATAGTCTCCTGATTTGTTCATTTTGGCCACTCTGACTGGCGTGAGGTGATATCTGAGTGTGGTAAAACACACATTTTAAGAAGCGTTGCTTCTAACCAAGAGAAGAGTCAAGGACTAGCTAAGAGAGAAGCACTGTGGTGTCCACATTTCCTGAACACAAATCATGACTTGGTCTGGCAAGTGATTTATAAGTTCTTTTTGGGTGTTTGGGCCAAAAGGTTGGCAACCTAGGGACATTTCAACTTCTTATGATTGCATGAGATGGAATATCTGAAATTAGGACTTGTACTGAAACATCTAAGAGTACTTACCCTTTCTCCAGAGCAGAAACAGGTTCAAGATCCTTTATGTAGACAGCAAAATGCATTCACTAGATTTGGCCAATGGGCTCTAACAAAGCAACTGAGTTCAATCATAGGAAACATTACTGGTAACTGATGACAAAGTCCCAGGAGCCATCACACAGCCAGAATCTTCAACATGGAACCTTAGGAACCACTCTCCTTCTCCTCCCATGCTGCCATTTTGGTTCAGCCATGGATCACAAAAGGGAATTTCTGAACTCAGAATACGCCCTCAATCCTTCTGGGCCACCTGTCATGTAAAGATTTCAAACCTCTACAGAAGCAGATAAGCTATGACTGCATTTTATAAAGCAGAAACTGAGCAGAAAGGAGGCCAACTATTTCTCAAATGCTAACCACTGATACAGAATAAAAAGTTAGCCAGTCTCCCAGACTTGCAAATCACAGCTACCCTCCATCTATGACTGTCTCCCCAGGAACAGTTCTAAGACCCAGCTCCTCAATGCCACCTGAGCAGCTGTTAATAAGGGTGAAGTCTCCTTCTTGAACATGCATCTGGTCCTTGATCCGGTCACAGCTCTAAAGCCTCTACTTAGCTAGAATGTCAGCAGTAAAGGGAAGTAACTTCAAGAAGAAAATGATCACCTCGACACTATCACACCTTATATTATAATGACATTTAATTATAATTTAATTTATAATGACCAAATAGAAAGGTCTACCATATACCAAAACATAAAACAGCCCACAGAACACGCTCCTGAAGGAGTAATAATTTATAAACTTGCAATAGAGTTTTTGCAGTGTGAGGACATCTAATCATGTCCACCTGAGTTGTTGGGAGATTCCAATGGTTTAGCCAAAAGATAACACAGGGTCTCCTAATTTGGAATGCATTTAAAGAGCAAACAGGAGGTATCTCTTCTCAGACTGGCAGGTTCATCACAGGTTCACCCCTGAGCTGACCTGTGGCCAAATGTTAGCACTTTAATACATTTAACGATTCCATAATAGGGAGAACCTGTTACCTTAAATCTCTGAGGTTGGTGAAACTGAATTGTTGCCCTTTTCTGATCAAAAGCTTTTCTCAGTTGAAGAAAGTGCACTTTGCCATCTTTATTTAAAACCTTCTTCTTCCCATTGACACACCGGCAGACATTTATGTCTCTTCCATAGTACATACCCCAGCTGCATAGACTCTTCAGATCTGACAGCCTGAACAGGGACCGGTAATATGTAGCCACTGCAGGGTCATCTCTCTGAATGAGAAGGGGCTTCTTCTCCCAGAATTCCCTGAAAAAAGTCTCTGTCTTGATGGGCGAGATTAAACTTTCAAACAGATCACTGGGGCTTTCAAAATTTAAAATAGAGGAGGGTCCACCAGCTGCCTCTATCTTCACGTGCTTGCAGGGAACAGACCCCTCTTCCTTCCCATTCCCTGTGGGCTTTGCTTTCTTCGGCATCGTTCTGTCTTCAAGACAAAGCAGTGACGAGGTGCACCTACCAGAGAACAAAGCACACGTGGTTAGGTTCACCAGGAGTTCTAACATTAGCAGATGGCGCACACACAACTCGTGTGACCATGCCACCTTCATGAGCACTTGTAAGTCAAAGCCCTTTCCTCCAGGATGGGATACAGCCTTAATCTAACACCACATCATCCAAGATAGGATTCAGCCTCAAACACCACTCAGATTACATATTCATCTAAGGAAAGCATTTTTTTTCTCGGGCATAGGCACTAAATCGTTAAAGTCACCGTTTGTTCGTTAGGAGGTATAATGATCCCAAATTAAATGGTTCAGCCACCTAAGCAGTTCCTAGTCACAGTTTTAGCCCGTGGCCGTTGACACAGCAGTCTAAAATCTTGACTTTGGCTTCAATCAGCACCAGGTCCCAAATCTAATTAGACGCACTCTTGAGTTACAGACACTCGCCTCGAGAACTACCAACAGGGGCTCACAGCCAGGTGCTCCTTACCACAGCACCACCCCCAACTGTTAGGAAGGCAGCCCAGGTGCCCTGGGCCAGCGTCACCTGGTGGCTGGAACAAGAAGCTGCTGCTCCCAAGTCTTCCTCACCACATGAACCTCCGCACTTTTGATTCCCAGCTTTTTCCTGAAAACTGCTACTTTATGAGAAAACCCGCCCCCATTAAAAAAAACCAAACGAGTTTGAGACTACAAAGTAAAGGCTAAAGACAGTTATGCCCCATTTTTAAAAAGCTTTAACTTTTAAACTAAGACACAATACCAACATCACCTAGGCATCGCCTTCTAGAACTGCCTTCTGTATTTCTAACAAGCTCCCAGGTAACAATGCTTTTGCTGGTCCATGGACCACATCTGAGGAGTGACAATCCCAAGCCCTGCCAAGCCTCTCTCAGAACTGTCCCCAAACCACAACTACTGTCACACTTACAATAATGCAGGTGTTCTTCACCTGGGGTTCAAGAATGGTATTTCAAATTACATGAATTTTCAGAAACTGTAAGATCCTACTTCAAACTGTGTGTCTACATCTCTCTATATAAATATTTATTTGGGTGTGGGCACATTGTGCTCACCTGATTCTTAAAGAAGGGCTAAGAACCACTGCACTTATAAAGAACGATTTTTCCCAGAGACCAATAACTTATTTATAGATATCACAGTTTTCTATTTTGTACTGCTAGCAAATTTTTAAGAACACTGTTTTCTGCCCTTTTGTTATTATAACTAAGCTGTATTTCAGCTACACTGTGGACTAAGTAGAATTAGTGGTCTGGCCTGGCAAGTAAGCACCTGGAACACTGTGTTACACATTGCAACAATTTACAAATGAACCTTTGGAATGCAACCCAAATATAAGCTGAACAATTCAGGAAGTGGAAACATCAAAATATACAACTCTAGTGCCCTCATTTTAGCTGCTAAACTTGTGTACAGCTCAGATCAAGTGCCTTTGGTAGGGCACATAGGACAGAAGTGGAAAACAAGTACAAACTGACGGACGGAGATGGAAAAAAGTACAAACTGACCCTAAAAGCTTGCACTGGAGGACTGAAGGCTTAAGCTTAGAAAAAAACAAACTTTGGTGTTGGCTATGTCACCAATGAGACATTTTCTGAAAATGTTCTGCACACCTTTCAAGCTTCCCAGCCAGTGTGATTTTTCAATTAAAGAATCAAGGCTTCCATGAACAAAAGTATTGCTAATACTTGGAACCCAGATGTGATGCAGAAATGCAAGGAGACATGAAAACACAGTCATCCTTTGAAAGGCCCGACTATAGCTAAGGTCTGAGAACTCAGATTTCAGGAGCATTCCACCACCTTTAACTGATAAGAGTGACTCACTCTGTCTTAATTGTTTGCACAATGTGGTTTATAATGAACACCTGTTTTCCTTCTCGGTGTCTGGAATTTTGGTAGGTGCCAGGCAGAGGGTGCCTATGTGGTCAGTCCCCAGTAAAAACCCTCAGTTCTGAGTGTCTGATGAGCTTCTCTGGCTGGCAACATTTCACACGGGTTGTCACAACTAGTTGCTGGGCCAATTAAGCACCTGGTCTTTTGCTATAATAAATCAGCTGTGAGTCCTAGTAAATCACTGAACCGAGGGATGGTCTTAGAGATCCCCCCAACACATTGCTCACTCTTTTTAAAAAGTGTTAAATCGGGGGCACCTGGGTGGCTCAGTTGGTTAAGCATCTGACTTCAGCTCAGGTCATGATTTCCTAATGAGTTCGAACCCAGCACCAAGCTCTTTGCTGTCAGCATGGAGCCCGCTTAGGATCCTCTTTCCCCCAACTCTGCCCCTCCCCTGCTTGCACTCACTCTCTCTCTCTCAAAAATAAGTAACCATTAAAAAAAGTGTTAAATTGGTTCAGAAGGTTTGTTACCATTAAGGTACCCTATAACGAAAACATAATTTCATATTCAGCCACACATCTCTTATCTCTCACAATTGGTCAGTTTAAAATTTAAGGGATGTGGACAGCAGGAAGATGCCGCTGAAATGCCTTTCTTTAAGCCTACCTAAGCCAAAAAAATCACTTAAAGCATTTTTCCTATCTACGATCACTAACATAATATACCCAGCACTGCATAACAAATGTTTTTGTTAGAATCTACATTTCACTATTTATACTGCCAAAAGTTGCATCATTGCTTGTCTGCCTTCATATTGAAATGATTTAAGGCTCAGTTAATTGGAACCTGGCTTAGAGATTACTGGGCAAATAAACTATTTCTCTGATTCTCACACTACCCATATTGTAAGACAACCATTCTTTTTAATAGCTTTGGGGAGTGGAGGAGAGAACAGATGACATACCCTATCACATTAAACATGTAAAAATCCTAGTATGCATCACAATTTCAGAAAAAGTAAAAAGCTTATCTTAGAATCTAAGAAATTTAGGGGCACCCGAGTGGCTCAGCAGTTGAGTATCTGACTTCAGCTCAGGTCATGATCTCACATAGCTCGTGACTTCAAGCCCCACGGAGAGCTCTGTGCTGATAGCTCAGAGCCTGGAGGCTGCTTCAGATCCTGTGTCTCCCTCTCTGCCCCTCTCCTGCTTGCTCGCTCACTCTCTCTCTCACACACACAAATATAAATAAACATAAAAAAAATTGTTTTCTAAAGTATCTAAGAAATATAGTAATGAGACAAGGAAAACCTTTGTCTAGAAAAGTAAAGCCAATACCGTCCAGCCCAGAAACCTCACAGACCACCCAAACAGAAGTTTAAAGTAAATATTTTTATAAAGCTTCAGGGAAAAAAAGCAGCCTTTGAAAAAGCAATTAGTAGCTATTAAAAAAGCAACTGGCCTGGGTAGCTCAGTAGGTTCAGTGTTCCACTTCGGCTCAGGTATGATCTCACTTGCGTGAGTTCGAGCCCTATGTCAGGTTCTGTGCTGACAGCTCAGAGCCTGGAGCCTGCTTCTGATTCTGTCTCTCTCTCTCTGCCCCTCACCCACTCACACTCTGTCTCTCTCTTTCAAAAATAAACATTAACTTTAAAAAAAAAAAGCAATTGGTATCATTTAACAATTTATACAAATATCAAATCATGGTATACACCTGAAACTGTTATATCTATTATTCCAATTTTTAAAAAAACAAATGTTTCCAATCTGAGTTGACTATAAGCATTAGTGTAAAAAGAGTCACGGTTCATATTTTACTAGCTGCCCACAGATTAAAAAAAAAAAAAAAACCACCAACTGATCTGAACAACTTTGAAGGATTAAAACTCTACAATAAAATCCACTGATATCCATTCTACAGCCAATAAATATAAACCGAGCCTTTATATCCTTAAGCGTCCTAACCTTCTTTTCTGTAGTAATATTCACTGACAAAAAGTCAACACAGCTTCGTCTGGGGAACAGCCATCTGCATGGTCCCAGAGCCTAGCACAGAACAGGGCACATAGGTCCCCAAGAAATGTTTGCTGAATGAATTGTCCTCCTTTTTCATCGTCTGTATATAATATTAGAGAAAAATCCTCAAAAGCCTTACACAAAACAGAGTTGGGAGGAAAACAGTTTATTCAAAGGGGATAATTCCGATGGCAGCTGTAGCTTGGGTATTCAACCGCACTGTCAGAGCTGAAAGGCAAATTAGCCTGCAGTGGTTATTACCAACCAGAGGGAGGTATGTCTCTACAGTCTTCAGAGCAGAGCTTTTTACAGTGTAGTCACCAGAAATACTTGTTCACCTGCAAATTTCTAGGCTCCCTATCAAGCCTACTAGATTAAGCACTTCTTGTGCTGGGTCCTAAAAATCTACATTAACACAGGAAATATTCCGTTGGAATTTTAGATCCATTAACATTAGTCAAATTCTGCTCAATTAAACACATACACCTGACGGAAATATTACCTGTAACAAGGTTGCCTCGGCAGACCTAAAATATTTTTTTTAGGTTTATTTGTTTATTTAGAGAGAGAGGGAGAGTGGGTGAGAGAGAATCGCAAGCAGGCTCCACACTGTCAGCATGGAGCCAAATGGGGGGCTTGAACCCACTAACCCTGGGATCATAAACTGGGCCAAAACCAAGAGTCAGATGCTTAACCCACTGAGCAACCCAGCCCACCCTGACCTAAAATACTCCTTTTCTGCCTAACAGAAATGTTCATCCGGAGGGAAAACTCGTTCTCCTGTTGACCTAATGCTGTGATTGGCAGTTACCCTTTTAGTCCTATTTTAAAAAGAAAATAGATTACAACACCTCCGTGTCTTGTAGTAAGCACGATGTTACGAAGGATGAGGCCAGAGAGGCAAAAACTATCCAAGCGATGGTGGCAGAAGCTGGGTAAGTCAGGCTCCTCCATTTAAACGTGAGTCCAGGGAAATCAATGGCCTGGCGCCGAATTTACAGCTCATCAGTGGACTCCCAGGCCCCTGCTTCCTGAACACGCAGTGAGCAAGCCGGCCTCACGAACTTGTTGGACAACCCACTGTCGGGCTGCCGAACTAGTAACACTTGCTGAGTGAACTGGCAGAGGGGTCTGTAATTTTAAAGTCAGGCTGGGACCAGACAGCCGCGACGCCCCCGCCCCGTAGCCCTGGCTGCAGGGCTCCCAGCAGTAAAGCCTCTCTTAGGCCCGACCTGACGCCAGAGGCACAACCCACGTGGAGGCCGCGCTCCCCGGCGGGCGTCACCCTCCCGGCGGAGCCTCCAAACTTTCCGCGCGCTCGTCCCAGTCTCCAGACCACCGGCGGCCCACGTGGGCCACTCTCGGTGCTCAAGCCATTCGTGACCCTACTCCCGCATCCGGGCAGCAGCAGACCCGGCGTGTCCTCCCTGCCCCGGTCCCCGGGATCATGGACCGCGTCGGCGCGCGTCCCCGGTCCCAAAAGCACCAGCGCCCACCAGGCCGCCCCGGCCGCTCTGAGGGTCCTGGGGACCGGGCTCTCAGGCCACCCGGCAGGCCCTACCCGCACCAGCGCTCGGAGGCCCAACAGGACGTGCACGACCCCGCCCCCGGCGGCGCGGGGCAGGCGGTGAACACCGCTCCACTCACCCTGCTCGGCCTGTTGCGCGCGGCCGCGAGCGGGCGGGGCAGAGGCTGGGGGCGGGGCGAGGCGGGGCGGCGTGCGCACGCTGGGGGGCGGCCCGCTCCGGTTCCTGCCTGAGCTACCGCTCCCGCTCCGGCTCCTCCCCGCGCCAGGCCGCGGGTGGTAGGTACTTCTGGCGCCCAGTACCGGCAGGTGTTGGGTCTTCGCGCCATCACGTTTTCCCCTTTGGTGTTAAAGGAAATGCATGGTTCTTGGTTTTTTGTTTTGTTTTTTTTTGAGTTGGGGGCGGGATGAGTCTCTGGATTTGGGGCAACTGTTTTATAGTACAACCCTATTCTTTTTATGAATGGAGAAACCCAGATGCAGAGAGGAGACGAGAGCTTTCCAAGTTTAGGGAGTCGGAGGTCCAGATTCTCCCATCGCTTTCTTTTGGGCTCTCCATGCTAAGCTGTACTGCTTTGTACTGTCAACTGTAATTTATATCCCGTTGCTCCCAGAGTCAGAATTAATCCCGGCTTAAAAGGATACTGGAAATTCTTTGTGACGATAGCTATAGAAGAGAAGAACAAAAGCAATTATTTAATTTTGGCCTAAGGCTCTGTCCTTTAGACAGACAAACTGATTGGTAACGTTTGGGTGGGGAGGCTGGACCAACTGAGCACGGGGATCAATGGCACATCTCCGCTTTGGCCTGTGTCCTTCTTTGCTCTGTAGACAGCCAAAGAGGACCTAAAAGAAATTATTTCATTCTGTCAGGATGATTGAGACCAATGACTAGCTCTGATTATCGATGTGGACACGTGAGCAAATGGGAACAAAGTACAGCCTTGTCTAACACTCGTCTGAAACTAACAATAATAGCAACACCTGTATTGAGTTCTTGCTGTAAGGCACCATGCTAATTGTTTCGGGGACTCCTCACTCCATCCTCACCACAATCTTGTGCTTACCTCCATTTTACAGTTGAGAAGACTGGTTCTGGAGAAGTTAACTTGCACAAAGTCACATTTAGATTTGGAAGAGCTAAGTCTTTCGGGAAAGACTTTCTCAGATCTATCTTTCGGAAGAGACTATAAAAAAAAATCTAGTCCACTTGACATTATATTGGTAATGTACTTTGCTCTTTATTTTGACTACAAAACATCTATCAAGATAATGTAGAACAGTATTGATGTTACAAGGATTCAGAAAATGGTAAATTCTTACCCATGTCCACTATATGGAAAAGCACCACTTTGTGTTTGTATAAAGAGAAGTTTCAATGTCAACACAAATAAAACCATCTCCTAGACGGAGAATCGTCACTAGGGTGCCTGACAGAACAAAAGTACATATTGAAGTCGGCTCTGCTAGGGAAAATCATACATCTTGTATAGGAGTTCCCCTGATGCAAAATTAGTCTTTCAATGTGTTCTCTCTGATACTGTCATTATAATTCAGATTTGTCAGCATAGCAAGCAAAAAAAAGAAAAGAAAAGAAATAAAAAGGTTATGCTCAGTCTTCAGACCTAAACACAATGGCTGGCATGTCTACAAAGGAGGAGGAAGAGAAGTGAGGAAAAGGGGTGGGGGTGGGGGGGATGTGAGAGAAGAGCTTCCAGAATCTATGGCATTCCTAACATACTGTTTGAGTACTTTGTTTTTTCATCTTTTGCTTTTAGTCCATTGAGTTTAAAGTTGTTCCAGAGGACAAGAAGCAGGCCACTATGCAGTCTCCAACTTATCTATTCCAGACTCATTAAAAAGTCAGTTATTTTCTTTCTGTAATCTATTTTCTCATAAAAACAATGTCATAGATAGCTGAGTCATAGATGGCTCAGTGACCCAGACCTACCCAGAAGGGCCTGAAGAAGCCCCCAGATATCTGAATCAATAGACTAGTGATCCTCCCGTGGAGCCTGGGAACAAGATGCCGAGATGATAGGAAAGAGCAGAGAATTCCATCCTTATACAGAAACCCTGAAATAGACTTGTCTACGATCCTCACAAAAATAACTTGCACTTCTGCAAGAGTGTTTTATGTTTATACCCTTTGTGTTGCTTTGTGTTGCTTCATTTCAAACCCAAGTTTGTCATCCTTTCCTGTGATTTCCTAGGCTGTTCTTACTATAGAACTTTAGGTTTTGGCCGCTTCACTGGGGCTCCCCACTGGGCCTGCCCTGCCTGGGTGTCAGGCTGCACAAACCCATCTCTGTCCTTTCTCCACTGCCAATCAGAATGATCCTGGGCTTAAAGAATCTTAGAATTATGCTGTGTGAGTGTACTTTTTAAGGTTACTCGGGGGGAAGAGATGCGAAGTACATGAACTTAACTTTCTCTTTTTGTTAATGCTCAGTTTCCTCACTTATTAGGTGAGATTGAACCAGATAATCCTTATTATCCCTACTGGCTCTCACATTCTATAATCCTAAAGGTCTGTGCACCAATTTCCACAGGGTATTAGGAGAAAAATCAGGAATCATGCATACTGCCCCCTACGTATTTGTATTGTATTTGTATTCACTTTGGTCCAGAAAAGATATAAGAGATTTCTTCCTTTTATATGATTTTATTTAATACCTGTACCATTATTATTATCATCCTAACTTTTGCAAACAATATATATAATATAAGGAAACCAAGACATAGTGAGGTTAAATAACTTGCTCAAAATTATACAGTCATTGGCTAGCACATCTGGGACTTAAATCCCATGCTGCCTATCGACTAATCCTCTTTTTGAGCCTCATTTTCTGCACCTGTAGAAATGGTTAATGTTGCTTTGTTTGTCTAACTCCTAAAGCTGCTGTGAGTTTCAGGTGACACAGAGTAAGCAGAAGAGTGTTAAAACTGTAGAATGCTATTCACCTGAGAGGCATTATTGTTAAATCCATTACACCATCTTGAACATGAGCCACAGAATGAATTAAATGCACCTGAGGCTTTTACATGTCTATGTTTCACTTCCTTGACTATACTCGTGAACAGGGCACCTTCTCACTGACATAGCCATATCACCATGAATAATCTTGGTCAGACTTAGTTAACTTCAGAAAGAGCCGGGGGGCGCCTGGGTGGCGCAGTCGGTTAAGCGTCCGACTTCAGCCAGGTCACGATCTC